GCTTTTTATTTTTGTTTTTTAAAAAGTTTCAATTTTTAATATTATAAGAATAAAGCTGGAGTATACCAATGGATTCACAAGGAATCTGGTAAAACATATATCGGTTCTGCAACTGATTTATACAAGCGATTGAGACAGTATTACTGTATATCACGCCTAAATCGTAATAAAAATCAATATTTAAGTAATGCTTTACTTTCACATGGATATTCTTTAGTAATTCTTGAATATTTTGAGATCTCTAATTTATCTCTAGAAGAATCAAAAATTTTAATTCTTGAACGTGAGCAATACTACATTGATTCCTTTAAACCTGAATACAATATACTTAGAATAGTTGGCTCTTCGCTAGGATTTACCCTTTCGGAAAAATCTAAAGCCTTAATGAGTGAAGTTAAGTCAGGTATAAACCATCCTAAATATAGTAAAACACATACAGTTGAGACTAAAGCTTTAATGAGTTTGAGCCGTTCAGGTGAAAAACATCCGATGTATGATAAAACTTATTCTGCTTTCCCCGGGTATCCGGGGGGGGGTGCATCGCCCCTTTTTAATTAATAATGTTTTTAAATTTTATTTAAAAACTTTTTAATTAATAATGTTTTTAAATTTTATTTAAAAACTCCGGGGCGAAGCTGAATCTAAAATGAAAATGAGTGTTGCACAAGGGTCTACTGTATTTATTTATGATACTCAAAGCTCACTTGCTTATACTTTTAGCTCTACTAGAAAAGCAGGCGAATTTTTTAATTGCTCTCCTACGACAATTAAGAAATATATCATCACACAACAATTATTCCAAGGTAAATGGACCTTATCTTTTACTGCTAAGGAATAAGCGATAATGTTAATGTACGATAAGGTAGGGGATTATTATACCATTTAATAAAATTATTAAATCAAAACATTTGATTTAACACCTTTTTTAATTTGATTTAACGCCCCTTTTAATTTTATTGTTTATTTCGGGTTGGATAGATTTGAACTATCTGAGGCCTAAACCCAATTTAGGTGCCTAACCAATTTGGCTTCAACCCGCTCCGTTAAAAGAATCGAACAAATATTTAAAAGATTACAATTTAATAGTATGAAATATTAAATTAAATTTAACTTTATTATTCAGCGAGGATCCAATTTAGACGTCCGGCCTATTAGACTACAACCCAGATGATATTATTATTAATAAATAAATCACATTAATAAATAGGTTGCATTAATAAATAGGTCACATTAATAAAAACTAAAATTAAGCTTCAACCCGTTTTGTTTCTATTATATATTATAATATAATAATTATAAATTTTATAACCTTATTTTTCTATTGTCATCTAACAAAAAAATGAAATACAAATAATAAAATTAACAAAAATCTGCTGCTACTTATATCTGAAACCCGGGCACTTTATTAAAACTCCCTGCGTTCTATACGTTTGAAAGTTAATAAAGGCAGGCCTTGTGTAATTAGTTAACACCCTGTACAATTTATAAAAATAACTACACCTTTAGTGAGACGAGCTCCTTCCGGGCGTTAATTAATTAACGCCCGGGGGAGCCCCCCCTTCGGGGGGCTAGGATATATAAACGGAAGAAGAGGGATTCGAACCCACAAAGAGAAACCTCTAAGGATTTAGCAAATACTTTGTCTTACCAGTGACGACCCTTCCAAAAAAAAATTATATCTATATAAAATCTATTATCTTTATATAAAATCTATTATCTTTATATAAAATCTATTATCTTTATATAAAATCTATTATCTCTATATGTACAAATATAAAAGTTTTCTATATAACCTAGAGGAAGTTGCCCTTTAAAAATCTTTTTTATTTTTTTTTATACTAACTCCGGGGTAAAACTTGAAGGGTTAGTATAAATTCTATTTATTATAATAATAATAAATTATACGAAAATTTTTTAAATTGAGTATTTCCTCCCCTTCTAAATAAAAAAAATTAATACTTATTCTAGTATTTCTTGGGAAAAGTGTTTTAAATTTTTAATAAAATTAGGAAAAATCTGTAATTTATATATAGGTAAATTAATTAAATATTTTTATTAAATAATACAGGTCTGGTATATTTTAACTACCTATATTTCAAGTCAAATAATCTGGGTTCGGTAGATTCGAACTACCAATCTCTTAAATCAAAGTTAAGTGTCCTACCTGTTTAGACTAGAACCCATTTAAAATGTTAATTAATTTAGGTGATATGTTACCCCTTAATATAATACACACCCGGTATATTAAAGTGCCATATCCGGACATTAAATTTTAATAATAAGTACTATTATATTTATTAAAATGACAATTTTAAACAATACTGTTTTCATTAGTTCAAGTATACTTGAACTATTTACTATATTTAAATTTTTATCTCATATATAGTTCCGGCTCCCCCACCCCCTGGTCGGAGCACCGAGCATCCCCCCGGATATCTGGGGGGATGCATTGTTTTATAAATAAAACAAAGCTGCAAAATTCTTTGATAGTAGTTCATATGTTATATCTTATTATTTAGATTAATATAAATTATATAAAAAAGAATGGTTTTTATTATGTTCTTTTAGTAAGGGGTAATTGTAGGGGTAAATATTCTATTAGCGTGGAATCTTTTTTATTTGTTAATTAATCCTTATAAAATTTTAAATTTTTATAAACTAACACCACCCCTAAACTATATATAATGAATAGTTATTATAGTTTAACGGTTAAAACAAAAAATTCATACTTTTTAGATAGAAGTTCAATTCTTCTTAATGACTTTAAAAATTACACTTTAAAAATTATACTTTGAAAATTTAAAAAGCTCCGGCTTCCCCCCCGGGTATCCGGGGGATGCATTGTTTTATAAACAAAGCTTCGAGGTGGGAGCCTGGGTAATTATTTAATAATAACCCGGGCCGCCTTTTTAAAAAAGGCAGACTCCCCCCGAAGGGGGGGGGGGGCCGCCTCGCCCGCGAGGCAGCCTCCCACCTCGAAGCTTCGCCCCGAAGGGGCGATGCTTTTTCTTCATAAACTAAAAAATATAAAAATAAAAGAGGGGTGGGGTGATGTTTTCTAATATTGCCATAGGTATTATATTCTAATTCATCAAACAAATATTATATACTAATATGTTAAATAATTTAAATTTTTATTATTTCCTTTTCCTTCTTTTTTCTTTGATATAAACCAATAGGTTTATTTAAAAATATATTATTCTTGCCCTCCGGGATAGGTCTCGGCCGGGATAGGTCTCGGCCGCGGAGGACAAGGCCCCCGGGCCTAGTAAAAAGATTTTATACCTGGTAGAAATTATTCCAATAATTTTAAATATATTATATATTATCTCTAGATATTATAATTATTCCTTATTAAAAATAAAAAGTTCGAATATTTTTATATTTTATTTTAATTATTATTTATATCCTATAACCAAAAACTAATAACCCCTTTATAAAACACTTGAATAAATTTGTACTACTATAATTAAGTTTCGAAGACTTATACTTTTCTAGTTAAGTTACAAGTACTTAATAATAATATTATCTTTGTATAATTATACAGACATAGACATATCCTGAAGTTTAAATGATTATAAAGATGAATAAGGTTCTTTGGTTGGGAGTCTTAGATTATTATAAGCTAGATTCAGTATAATTTTATAAAAATTAGAAGATTTATATTTTTATAAATAGTTTTACCTCGCCCGCAGGGAGTATAAATAAACCCCCCCTCAAGGTCAGAAGATCCTTCTTACTCTTAAAGAGCTAAACTATGATAGGTCTTATATTAGCATTCTTATACTTATTAAGGTTCTACCTTTACTTTTATATATATAAATAATCATGTATCTAAAAAAAAAATAAAAAAAAATAAAAAAAATAAAATAAATTATAATATAGATTTAAGATTAATTTTTAATAGAAAATTAATTTCATTAATTTATTTTTCTTATAAACAATATTTTTATTCTTTTTAATTAAATATTAAATATAAATTAAATTAAGTATAATTTTTGATTTCTTTAAAAGTACCTCAATTTTTAATGATTTATTAAAATATTATAATTTCTTAAATCAAATAGTATTTTTAAATATAAAAATTGATTAAAGAATTAGTATTCTAGACTTTCCTTTTATAATCCTAAGTTCCAAATAAGCTTTAACCACCGAAGGTGGAAATGTATTTTTATTTTTCTTACGAAAGATAATTTCTTATTTAGGAAATGAAAGAATTGAACTCTCCTCTGTTTATTGTAAGTAAACTGCTCTACCGATAAGCTAATCTCCTGTATATATACATATTATTATATTTTCAAGACCTGGGGCCTAAGGAAGTTTTAAATATTAATTATCTTTATCAAGCAATTTAGAGCGTAAAATCTTTTTATTTTAATACGAATTATCTTTCTTAATGTGTCTCCCTATATTATTATAACAATATATTAGTAGTTGAGGATGGGAATATTAAGAATGTTTCAAATAAACCCTAGGGTCCCTAATATTTCTACTACCAGAAATAAATTACATAATAGTCCATTAAATAAAAAGTCCTAAAATAACAAATTTTGTTGAGATTGTTAATAAAGGATAAAAAGCTTCGCCCCGGAGTTTTTAAATAAAATTTAAAAACATTATAAAGATAAACCGGGGGGCCGCCAAGGGCGGGAGGGGGGGGGGGGCCCCTGGGATGTATACTAAAATAGTGATTTTGAATATTGACATATTTTTTTTTTATAAGGTCCAAGTGAGAGTAATCAAATAGCCTAGATTATATGATGTACTTAGAGGAATTATAACACATAAGCCTTGGTAGAGTAAAATTATATCATTAAATTTAAACATATTAGATTTTTCGCAAAGGTGGTTCCCTATTACAATAGATTTATTATTTATATTAGTCCTTAATATCTAAGGGTTCTAGTCTAACACGTAGGCACAAAGAAAGGCCGGGGGGAGGTGTTTAGAATTATACTTTTTTTAATTAGATAGCTAAAAGTTATTTTCTTAAAACATATAGGTTAGTGTATGACTCGAACATACGTTTTTAAGTTTTGCAAACCAATACATTACCAATTATGCTAACTAACCTATTATTAATAAAAGATTTATATTTCTAAAGTAAACCTAATCTAAATTAAAGTGTTTGGATTAAATAAGCTTTGTTTTATAAATAAAACGATGCATCTTCCGGATACCCGGGGGGAGTTTTATAAACAAAGCTTCGAGGCTGCCCCGCCCCTTTTTAATTAATAATGTTTTTAAATTTTATTTAAAAACTTTTTAATTAATAATGTTTTTAAATTTTATTTAAAAACTCCGGGGCGAAGCCCCCTCCGGCCGTTATTTTATTAGCGACCGGGGGTAACCCCCCTCCCCGGATAGCTGATATAAAATTAGCAAATTCATTGTTTCCTATTGAGTTATTATTTTTATCAATATTAGTAGAATAAATAAAAATTCCTTGAAAGATGACATTATTAATTTTTTTTCCAATTCTGTAGAAAGGGGTGTTCATAAAATTTGTAGGATATGTAGATTCTATTTAAGAAATTTTATTATTTATACTTAAATTTTTAGAATTCTGAACAAGGGAAGTGTTCGTATAGGAATGTGTTAAACATGAAGAAATCCAAACTTTAACTGTTATGCTACCATTTTTTCCTGTAAAAGTAAATTTACTAGCATCAATTAAAGAATGAGTAGAACTTAATTTTAGAGTACCTATAGATTTTCGAACAATTCTGGTTCTATTAGCTTTTTTTCTTTGAGACAATCTTCCGCTGATTTGAATTTTTAAGCCTGTTAAATATTGAGGCTCTTTTATAGTAGAATTAAATTTAATTAAGTCTGATTTGGATATATTAAACATATTATTATTTTTAATTAATTTAACTTTTTTAAATAAAATTCGTGACATTTTCATAAAATTCCCTGCTTTAATATTTAAGGCTAAATATTGTGCTAAAATGTAAGAATTTAAATAAGGATAATGAATTCTTACAGGTCTTAACTCTACAGGTTTACCATAAACTTTCGATAGTTTTAGTATTAGTTTAGAATAATTAATAGCTTTAATAACTAATAATTTTTTATTATTAGTTATTCTACCTTTTTGTAAAGAAGATTTAATTGTTTTTGATTGTCTAAAATTTAAATGTTTTGATACTGGTAAATTTAAAAAATAATAAAAACTAATAATTATTTTATTAGAATCTTTATTAAATTTAGGTTTTGAAATTAAACCTATTTGAAAATAATCTTTAATTAATTTTAAAGCTATTTTATCTAGACCCCAATAATTATGTAATTTACTCTTAATGTTAAAATAATAAGAGGTATCATTCCATTTTTGATGCGTTTTTAATCTTAAACCGATAGGATGTTTATTACCCATTTGTTTTTTTTATGTATATCTCTTTAATCCTAATTTTGTCCATATAAAGATAACTCTTGATATTAATATAAACTAATTCCAAGCAACAAATATTCCAAAAGGTTGGAATCGAACTTCCCTATTAAATTTAATAATGTATTAATGGGCAGTCTAACACTCTTATCTTATTATTAATAATAATTTAAGTTAGCCTAGATATACCCTCTTTATTTATCATTTTGATTAAGTAAATATTCCGCAAATCTTATTATTTAATGAACAAATTTTGAGTATTTAAAATATTGAATAATCGATATTTTAATTATTATTAATAATTGGGACTAAAATCTATAAATATTTTTTATCTTTAATCAATAGATATTAAATATTTTATCTTTAATCTTAATTTTGTCTATATGGCTCTTGAATTTTATTGTCAAGACTAAAAAAATCTTTGATTTCATTCATTAAGTTAATATCTTTTTTATGTTGAGTTATACTTAGATAAATAAAACAAAATTTTTTAGTTTCAAAAGTTAAACTATTAGGGTATATTCATATAGACCTGTTACCTGCTATAAATCCTGAGATATTATTACCGTTAATAGGAATATAATTTAAACTATTTTTGTTATAATGTGAAGGTAAATAATTTTTTATATTTATACGTGAACGATTCATATTTTTAAATAAATAGAAGATAGATAAAGTATTGATCAAATATATCCAGTAAAGATATCTAATATTATATTGGAAGTTCGAGTCTTTCTTTATATATTTAAATTTTAGTAGTTAAGATTTCTACTTACCGTTTTAACGTGTAAATTAAAATCTTCTACAATTTTACCATAAAATGTGTCAAATAAATAAGTATAATATTAAAATAATTTAGTTATATTATTATAATTAATGATTAATATTATTTTTGGGAATAAAAAATACATTTAAATTTTAATGAAAAATTCATTAATTTTATTTAATAATAATTTACCTAATCAATCGGTAATTATGTATGATAATGTGGAAACAAATAAAACAACTATTTTATCTGATCTTAGAGGTCTTAGCGGGATCTATATGTTTACTCATAAAGAATCTAATAAAAAATATATTGGAAGTGCAGTTGACTTATCTAAACGACTAAAAATTATCTTAATCCTAGTTTTTTAGACCGTAGTAAATATATGTATATCTGTAGAGCTTTACTTCTTCACAGATTTTCTTCATTTAGTCTTACGATCTTAGAACTTATAGATATTTCAAATTTATCCAAAGAAGACGTTCGTAAATTAATACTTGAATAAGAACAATTATATATAGATACTTTAGACCCTGAATATAATCTTCTTAGAGTAGCAGGTTCTTTGTTAGGATATCAGCATAGTGAAGAAACTAAAAAAATTAAGTGAAGTTCATAAAGGAAAATCCCTTTCTGATGATACTAAAGCAAAAATGAGTCTACTCAGAAAAGCTTTTTTGAGATCTAAAGAGAACCATCCTCGTGGAATGTTAGGTAAAACTCATTCAACTAAAACAATTGCTTTAATGAGTAAAGCTAAAATTGGTGAAAATCACCCACGAGCTTTTTTAGGTAAAACACATAATGAAGAAACGTTAGCAAAAATGAGTCCTACTAAAGGTACTGCTATTTATGTTTATAATGCTCAAGATTTATTAGTGAATACTTTTAGTTCAGCTAGAAAAGCTGGTATATATTTTGAGTGTTCTCAAAATATCATACTTAAATATGTTAGAAATGGAGGAATATTTAAAGAAAAATGGAAATTATCTTTATCCGTTTTAGAAAAAGTTAATTCAGATGGTATTTCTGAAGAATAGAAGGGAACTATTCGATACAATTATATTGTAATTTAACACCCAACTAATAAATATTTAATTTAGTTATACCATCTAAAGTCAAATAACTTTTTGATGTAATTATTTCAGCAGCTAAACACCAAAAATTAAAATCTTGAAATTTATTTCCTCTTAAAGAATATTTTTTTAAAATGAGGTATAATTATAGTGTATATGTCTGATATTTTCGAGACCCCAAATTCTACCATGCCTTTAGATTTTGGTTTAGAAAGATTTCCACAGCCTGGGGGGCCCCCCGGCGCCCGGGCCGCCCCCCCCCTGCGGGGGGGGGGGGCGCCTTTTTAATTTATAATGTTTTTAATCTTTATTTAAAAACTCCGGTGGAGCCTAGATAATCTTTAATTTTTTTTTTATTTTCAACATCATCTTTCATTATAACTATTGAAAATCTAAATTTTGCAGTTAATTTATCGGTTCTAGTTTTATAAGTATTTGTATTAAAACAACCTTCTGCCTCAGTGAACCTTGTTAAAAAGTATGCAAAATATTTATTTTTTATTATTAATTTTTTATTGGGTCAAAAATCTTATTTTTCCATCTCTAAAAAGGGGGATTTTAAACAAAATTTATGTTCCCCTAAAAGGGGGAAATTTTGTTTTTGATCCCTTGGCTTTTAACTACTCCGCAGCACGTTCCCGTACCACGACTATGTTTCAACTTAACCCCAGTTATAAAGCGACGGACATAAAAAGTAACCTTAGTATTAAATATTATCTGAATATCTTTTTAAATAACTATCTTAGTAAGATAATACAATAGTTAAAGCTTTCTTATTTGAGATCACTTTACTTCCGGCGCTTGATGAGCGATTTGTACACGCCGAATATTATGTTTCACCAAGACATCCTGATTCTTGATTACTAGCAATTCCTACTTCATATAATCGAGTTACAGATTATAATTCGTTTATTAACCTTTTTTGAAGATTAGCTCATATGCAAATTTTTGCTTCTTATTGTAAAGGTCTTTGTGGCACGTCTATAGCCCACTCCATAAGGGCCATGAAGGCTTGTCTTAGTCCTAATTAACTCAACATTAATCGAGTACTTCTGTAGTTTAAATTAAAATTTCTCATAAAGAAATTTCCACCCTTTTCAGGGTAATCCTTAATGAGATTTATTTATTTTAATTTTCATAATTACAGACAAGGGTTTTGCTTGTTAACGAAATTAATCTAACGTCTTACGATACAAGCTGATGACAGCCATGCAACGCCTGTGCTACCTATTATTTTGGTACATTGCAAGAAGTGGTAAGGTTATGCGTGGGTTATCGAATTAAATAACATGCTTCACTGCTGGTCTTCAACACCGTCAATACTTTTGGGTTTCAGTCTTGCGATAGTACTCCCCAGGTGGAGTGGTATAGTCTTCACTTTAAAACTGGTTTTTTAGGACCAATTCTATCCACTCATAGTTGAGGGTATGGACTACAAGGGTATCTAATCCTTTTTGCTCCCCATACTTTAGTATCTCAGTGTCAGTGTTTAATTAGATAGATGCCTTCGCCTTTAGTGTGTCTACCAAGTATAATAAGATTTCATCCCTACTCTTAGTATTCCTCTATCTTCAATTACACTCTAGTATAACAATTACATTTTATAACCATACTTTTGATATCCTTATAACTACTGTTTGAAAATACCACCTACATACGCTTTAGACCCATTTAAGCTGAAAAACGTTAACCCCTCTCGTATTACCGCGACTGCTGGCACGAGATTGGTCGGGATTTATAAATAGGTAACGTCATTATCCTCCCTATTTTTAGAGGTATACCATTAAGATGCTTTCCCTCTTCTAGATAGCTGAATCAATCTTTCGATCATTGTTCAAAA